TCAGGAAGAAATGGGGAATAAAAAAAAAAAAAATGGAAAACATGTGGGTAAAACTTTTTAAACTACTAACGTTAATATCTCTTTTGGTTAGATGACATTTAGTTAGATAATATCTAGTTTGGTTAGAGAGTGGTTTCAAAAAGATAACAAAATTTCAATATTATGTGGCAGTAACTATGAGATAGAAAGAAATAATTAGAGTTAAAGTACTCTAAATTCATTCAATTGTGTGAATGGAATAGAAGAGATTAAATTTAGATGTTTAAGCAGGAATATTAAATTTTGAATGATAATATCCAAAGAAGAAAAATTGCATGTGTAATTTTTAGTACAGCAAAGAATTTTAGAAGTTCTGTAAGTCCAAAAGGAAGCAAGAAATGAAAAAAGAGATGCATAGAAAATTCTGACTAAAATATGTTTATTAATATTTAAATATATTAATATATAAAATATATAAACATAATATTACAGTTGTCATACTTAATTTTTTAACCCATTTATATGATATTTAATAAAAGACTCATCTAAATCTTAGGGCCATAAAAAGATAGAGATCAAAGGATTTTTAAAAAGACACATAGTAGATAAATAGCAACCAAGATAAAGTTCGTCTTAAAAATAGTGCCACTCCAGTAATAATCAGCACATCTAGAATCCAAACTGTGGATTTTTATGCCTTTCCCACCAAAGGAAACCAGGGCTCTCTGATAAATGTTTTACTCCAGATCTGAGGCACTGAAGGTACATGAGACGCCTGGGTAATTGTGGTGTTCAGAAAAAGTATCAAAAAACAACCCAATTTAAAAATGGCCAAAAGACTTTAATAAATATTCTTCCAAAGAAGACATAAACACATGAAAAGATAATCAAATCACTAATCATTAAGGAAATCCAAATAAAAAATATAAGATACCACTTCACCCCAAGTGTTGGTAAGGATTTGGAGAAATTGGAACGCTGGTGTACTTCCAGTGGGAATGTAAAATATACAACCCCTACAGAAAGCGATTTCTCAAAAAAGTTAAAAATAGAACAAAATGTAATCCAGCAATTCTACCTGTGGGCAGATTTGTGAACAGATATTTGTGTGCATAGTTCATATCTGCACTAATTAAAGTCATAAAAGGAAAGAAGTTCTGACACATACTACCTCATAAATGCGTGCTGAATACAGTATTCTAAGTGAAATGAGCCAGTCATAAAAGGACAAATACTGTATGATTCCATTATATGAGGTACACACAGCAGTAAATTCATACAGTCCAAAAACAGAATGTTGGTTGTCAGGACCGGGGCAGTGGAGACAACGGGAGTTACCTTTTAATGAGTACAGAGTTTCAGTTTAGGAAGATGATAAAATATTTGAGATGGATGGTGGTAATGGTTACACGACAATGAGAATGTACTTAGTACCATTATACTGTATATTTAAAATGGTTAAATAATTTTATGTTTGTATACTTATGACAATAAAAGTTTTAATTATCAGACATTCAAAGAAACTAAAAACTATAATCCATACTAAAGCAAAAGTCCAATCCTCAAAACCAACCCAGAAATGAGGCAGACATAATAATCAACAAACAATGGCATTGAAGAGTCATCATGACTGCAGTCTATATGTTCCAAAAGTTAACTCAGGACATAGAAGACATAAAATAAGATCCAAATCTAATTTCTAAAGATGAAAACTACAGCTGAGGTAAAAAAAACAAAAAACCCATTCTGAATAGAATTCAAAAAAGATTTCACATTGCAGAACAAAAGAATTATCGAACATAATAACTGTAGGAACTTTTCCCAAAAAAAAACCACACATAGAAAAAAAGAGATCAGTGCATTAAATGGTCAACACATTAAGCAATTTAAAAAGAAAACAATTTTGTATTTTAATCAATACAGAAAGGGATTTGACAAAAATCTAGCATCCATTCCTGTTTTAAAAATCTGTTAGAAAACTAGGAATAGAAAGAAAACTCATCAACCCAATAAAATATCAAGGAAAAATGAGAAAGAAGTTTAAAAACAATAGTATTTATAGTGGCACCAAAGGGTGTGAAATGCAGTATTTTGGTATGAATCTAACAAATGACATGCAAGATCAATACACAGAAAGGTATAAAAATTGGGGAAGAAATTAAGAGCCTACATAAATGGGGCTGTGGACAGGACTCAATATTGCTAAGATTACTGATTCTCCTCTAATTGGCACATTACGCTTAAACTAATACAATAGTTAGAGAAACCAGATCAGTGGTTGCCTGGGGAGTGGGAGATGGAGGGAAGAAGAGTTTGAAGATAAGGCTACAAAGCATAAGAAGACTTTTGGGAGTAATATACAAATTCATTACACCAATTGTGCTGATGGTTTTACAGGTGTAATGCTACATCTAAACTTCGAAAAGTATCGCTTTATACCTCAATAAAGCTTTTTAGATGTCAATAAAAACATAACACTAATGGATGTATGTTATAGTAGATAACCTTGAAACTATGAGGGAGGGGAGGGAGAAAAGGAGGGACAGGGTGGTGGGAAAGAGAGGGAGAGAGAGAGAGAGAGAGAGAGAGAGAGAAGAGAGAGAGAGATTTTCCAACCTAGCACACATAAAAGAAAATACAGGAGGGGGATGGAGAGATGGGAAGAAAGCACAGTAAATGAAACATGAAATAATGTAAAAACATGACAAAATTTGTAAGTAATCACAGCAAAAGTGTATAGTTTAAACTCCCTTGATAAAAATAAAATTCTCAAAACAGTAAATAAAAATTGATTTTAAATTCTTTATTTTAAAAAGTGATAGTTTCTTTTTTAAAGGTATGCCTAAAGTAATATTCAAAGAAGAATTGAAAATAGAGACAATGACATACCATAGCCATGTAGGCACACTGTTCAGATTTCCCACTAATAAAAAACTTACCATTCTATCACAAGGAGTCCTGTTAGCAGATGGCCTCCAATTGTTAATACCTTCAGAATCCATTTCAGCTTTTGAGTAAGGACCATGTTCTTCCTGGGCAGAATCCAGCTAATAACTAATATGGAAGGGGTGTCAGTGTTTACTAATTTCCTTATGTGAAGGCCTACATATTTACCCTGGGGCTTGTACCTTGGCCAAGATTTAGGAAATTCTAGTATAGTTATCTGAGTTCTTCCTCAATCCTGCTTCCTCCCTCCTCCTTTCACAGGCTTCATTCAAGTTAGCATGGTGGTCTAAACGTTTGCCCTCCTGTTTTCTCACCCTATAATCTTTCATACTTATAGTAACACCAAGATGAATGTCACGAATCAATTCTAAAAGAATGAAGGTGGGCTCAAGAATAATACTGCAGGATTCAATTTCCATACAATTCAAAAATAAGCAAAGAAAGCAGGACAGTAGCTACCTGTACAATGGAAAAAGAGAGCTGGGGCCTAAGGCCATGCCGTGCCTACCTCTTGGCTGCTGTGAGCATTTCTTAAGCATGTTCCATCTATGGTCATAATTAAAGCCTTAAGTTATTCAAAAAAAATCTTTCATAGGTGTAAAACCTCCTCTCTCACATAACCTTCATCACTTCTAATCCCATCAACCTCTACTTCCTGGAGGACCTAACTGACACACTTGGTCCAATCTCTAGCTTTTCTGAGTCAGCAGATGGAGTGGATTTGAGGACTCAGTTCTCTCACATGATTCCAATGTTCAACCATGGTTCACCTCCACACTGAGCAATTTTCATACAATTATTTTCTGTACAATACAATTAAAATTTACAAGCTTACTTGAAATTTCTACTATGGTATTACTTGCTATGCCTGTTTTGACATTTATTTTTTAGTAATATAATATAGGTAGTCTTGGACCCATTATGGGCCTCAACCCAGCCACAGGTGGATAAAGAACCAACAAAATGTCAAGAATAGGGTTACGATTTCTAATGCATACACTGCTCAGTAACCTTTATACGTAGAAAGTTAACGGATTGGGGTTATTTTGGGCCAAGTCAAAATAGTTTGGTCAAAACACCATGTGCTAATTATCATAGTAGTTTTACATCCAAAATAGACTAATAATCCTTTTAAGGATAAAGACTAAAATAACTAAAATATCTGGAGGGTAGAGTGTATTGACAAGACAAAATAATTATCTTAAATGTCTCAGATGGCACACTGAAGAATGAATGTATTTTGTATTAAAATTTCCACTATCATGAAAAATCCTGCTAGGCATAATGGTACATGCCTATAATCCCAGCACTTGGGAGGCTGAGGCAAGAAGATGGTAATTTTGAGACCAGACTGATCTACGTAGTAAGTTGGAGGCCAGTCTGAGCTACATAGCAAGACTTGCACAAAACAAATAAACAACAAGAAAGAAAACCTTTTAATATTGTTCCTGCTATGGAGCAAATGGGCTTATTTTTCATAACTAAAATATTTTCATATAAAAAGATATCAATGTACATATTCCTAATATTTTTCTCCACAGAGAAGTGGAAGAAGGGTCAATGTCATCCACGTCCATTCTCTTAGCCTGCAGATACCCAAGTCCTCCACAATGTATATGCAGCTGCAAAAATAATCCATAGACACCTGCTATTTGATAAATACATCAGAAGAAGTGTGCACCATGAAAATACACAATTCCAGCCAGGTGCCAGTGGCTCACACCTGTAATCCCAGCTACTCAGGAAGCAGAGATTCAGGAGGATCACAGTTCCAAGTCAGTCTGGACAAACAGTTCGAGGGATCCTATGTCAAAAAACCCATCACACACGCACACACAAAACAAAGGCTGGTGGAGTGACTCAAGGTGCAGGCTCTGAGTTTAAGCCCCAGTACCGAAAAAAAATAAAAATAAAAATAAAATTCTACCTTATGACATTTGCAAAACTGTTAGGCATCTTTACATATGCATTTTCTCTTGCAAACATCTCAAAAAACTAAATTCGGTTTTATTAAATTATTCTTTACTTTTTATTAAATAAATAATATAATCTCACATGGAATTAGCCAACTGATTAATTAGAAAAAGGAAAGTGGGAACTGAGGAAATGAGAATCTTGCAGATACAAAAATAAGAATCCAGGAAAAGGCACATTCAAGCACTGTTGGTTACACTTAAACACTGTTGATACATTTTGACATATTTATCAATAATAAAAATGCATATTCACTGACCTGGAAATTCCACTCAAGAAAATTATCCTACAGTTACATTCAAACAATACAAAGAGCTGTATTCACAAAAAACATTCTATATGGTATTGTTTATACCAGAAATCAAACTTAAAACAATCTATATGTCTAAAGCTTAAAACAATATAGGGCTTTGGTTAATTAAATTATGACTTAATCATACAATGAAATTTTATGCAGCCATTTAAAAGAATGAGGTAGCTTTGCTTGTGCTGACACAAAGATTTTCAAGACTCACATTATTAACTTTTTATAAGTACAGAACAGCATTACAGTATGGTCCCATTTGTGTCTTGATAGGGAGATGTAAACACATGTAAACAGACATAAATGCATACACATACTATAAGCATATAGACACATCCTATGTACATGGAATTGTTCTGGAAGAATACATAAGAAACTCCTAATGATTGTTCCTTCTGCAAAGTTATTTCTTGGGGAAACTCATTTTCATTATATACTGTATTGCACAATTTGAATATTTTACCATACCATAAACACATGCTTTCATTGTAATGATAACATCAGTTCTTCAAAGAACAAGCTGGTAGCAGCTAAAATTCTAAAATTCCAATTGTAGAAGGATATAAATGCAAATCTATTAGAGTGTCTTTGTCTTCTAAGAACCTCTAACAAACTAATTTCATAATAGGCCTTCCATTCTAGCACTGTAAGAAAATCAAAACAGTAATTGTAATGTATCTTGATTCATTTTTCCTGGTGCTAGATTCCAATAACTGATAAAGTATGCAGACCTGTGCCATCAGCTTCACTTGGTGACACCTAAGGCGTCTTTGCCTTGCTGGCAGTGTCATAGAGTGGATTACTCTTCTCTGTGTAGCTAGCATAAGGCTGCATTTCGTCCTAAGAAAGAACCCAACATCAAAATCAGTTTTTAAAGGCCTGTTCTTTAACAGGTGCCCACAGCCTAGTATCTAACCAAAAGTGCTTATATTTGTGTCTCTGGGCTTATATGATCATAGGCACAGGGCTTTGTTCTAATATGTCATCAAAAAATATTTGTTGATTATTTACATCTATGTGTCAGATGATAGTCGTATAAAAGGAGAAACAGGGAAGGAGTCAAAGACTTAGTAAACTACAGGTTTACTAAGAGATTAAGGAACAGGCTAGACTTCATGCTTAGGCATGAGATAAATGATAATGGTACTAAAAAGGGAAAATCAAGAATTAGACATGGTTTCATGAAGGTGGAAATGCTTAATTCGGTTATTCTGAAGAGTTAGTACAAATGAAACAATGATTATGAGAGTAGAATGATGTTTGTGGGATAAAAAAGTGGATTGAAGGTGGTGTGTAAATAGTACTTGATAGATATTAGCAACATAAGCATACCTGACTATTAACATTGTAAAATCAGAATTTGGGTGTTTTTTTTAAACTAAAACACAATACATAATTGTGTTTTAGTTTAAATCTAGCCATATAAGGCTAGATTTCAGATCCTGTAGCTTTAAAGTTTGCCAATATTGTTTTTTAACTTACCTCTTCAATAACAGGAACAGCATCTGATTTTCTCAATTTACATTTCCTAAAAAAAAAAAATGATCTGGAGTGAGTACAGGAAACATCATTATTTAGATTTGAAAATGGAAAAACATAGTATACTATTGAAAATTGTGGTTCATTTTGACAGAAGTCATAATAAATCAGAAAAGAACTACTGAGTAAAGAATACTACTTGCGGTTAATATACCCAAATAAGAAAATTCTGGATTTTGGAAAAGGAAGCAAAATTATGGAACAGGAGTTTGATACAATAGGACATATTTGACCTCTCTCTTTAGCACATGAAAGAAATTATTGCAATTATTTTCCCAAACAAAAAAAATTAGCATGCATTTGTGTGTTCCAAGATCCTGCCCCTAGCTGGCCTAATCCACCATACTTACATGGCTGAGTAGCCTTGTAAAAGCACTCATCATTCAAAGTTGTCTAAATCTAATGTCTTTCTAGATATGCTTTGATTATGAGAGAATTGATGTTAACATCCCCATTCACCCAGTCCCTCAATTCCATATTTCTGATTTTTTTCTGTACAATAAAGCAGAAGAAAAAATGTCATCCATTAGTAAGTACCTGAAGCCATTGATTTTCAAAAGCCAAATGCATCCCACGATGATCAAAATAATAGGGGGGATGATGAACCTAGTATATTGCTTACTTTCTTTGCTATCTGTAATGATAGATACAAAAATACATAGTTCAAATGTGGTAAATCCAGACAAAACAATATTATCCATTGCTAAAAAGAAATGAGCCATGAAAAGACATGGAGGAAACTTAAATGAATATTGTTATATGAAACAAGCCCATCTAAAAGAGCTACAGACTGTATGGTTCTATTATATGACATTCTGGAAAAGGCAAAACTAGGGAAACAGTAAAAAGATCAGTGGTTCCAAGGGGTAGAAGGGAGGGAGAGTTAAAAGCATCAAGCACAGGGATGTTTGTACAGCAGTGAAACTATTCAGTATGGTACCATAATGGTGGATCCATGGCATTATACATCTGTTCAAACATATAGAATGTACATAGAGTGAGCCCTAATGTAAAGTATGGACTTTGGGTGATAATGGTGTGTCCACATAGGTTCATCAATTGTGATAAATGCACACTGTGGCCAGGATGTTCATGGTGGGAGAGGTTGTGCCTGGGTGGGATCAGTGTTATATGAGAATTTTCTGTACTTTGCACTTAGTTTTGCTGTGAGCCTAAAACTACTCCAAAAAAATAAAATCTATCCAAAAATAAAATATATTTGAGGTTCAAGGATTTGTCTCAGTATATGGGAAATTCATTTCTGCAATTTGATTTTAAATTCTTTGGCACAAAGAATTGTTACAGTGGAATTACTTTATCATTTCCCCTTTAGAGTTTCCAGCAAGATATCAACTTAGTCAGGAGTCTGCTTCTTTGAGGACTCATGAATGTGAATTTCTATAGGAGAGACATGAAATTTAGTTCTGTTACAGTAAGAGCAGAGTGTTCCTCTGCTATGTGTAGTAGTAACTTTAACCTCATCTATTAGCTCTTGGCTGCTGTCTAAAGTTCAGTTTAAGTACACAAGTCAACAAGGAATTGCCAGCTCAAGAAGCAGTTGTTTTAGAACTGTGCTCCTGGTGTTCCATGAATGTGTCTGCAGGGCAGCAGCAGGAGGCGAAGTGGAGGTTGAGGAGTGTGGCATAAGTCTTTCCATGTTCCTTCATCAATGATCTTTTTAAATGTTAGAGTTCCAGTATTTCACTTGAAAAAGAAAAGTGTGTTTTTAGTGTTGAAAACAACAACAACAACGCTGGTTTGCAGGGAGGGGGTTGGTTTTTTTGTTGTTGTACTAGGGTTTGAACTCAGGGCCTCAAACTTCCACCACCTGAATAATGTTTTGAAACCCTCAAACTAATGAGCCCTTTTCTCAATGGATGTGTGAAGAAGACCCCTGCAGTATGTGATAGTCCCTTCAATTCTGATGTTCCATAAATACATCACATGGTGAGATTTCACAGATCACCAATACTCTTAGTAAATACTGCTAAACTCTCTGAAAATCAGAAATAAATATGAAAAATGGTAGTTTAAATGCATGGTTTTTCTCTTCCCCTTTCTTAAAACTTACCAAAATATCAGGAAGAAATTTTTTTAAGTGTAAACTTGTAAAGACAGAAAGAACACAGATGAAGACAAGAACAGATAAGAGATTTCTACCTGTTTTTAGGTGAAAAATACTAGAAGAATGATGAATGACTTAAAAAGAATAATAAGTGAAAAAGTTAGTGCCCACAAAACTCCAAAAAAGAGTAGAAAGTCATCAAGTATTTCAAAATAGCTAAAAGGGAGGATTTTAAATGTCCTTACCATAAAGAAATGATAAATGCTTGAGGTGATAAATAAGCTGATTACTCTGAATGATCATTCCACATGTATACATATATCAAAATAGCATTTTGTACCCCATAAATATATAAAAATTATTGTCAATTAAAAATAAAGTAAAGCTTAAAAAGAGATAAAACTGAAAAGAGTTTGTGTGAGGGGATGAAGTATAGAGCTAAAGTTGAGAGCTTCTATGAAAGTCTATGTTAGAACAGATGGGGAACCAAGTCCCCTATTCAGCACCCTTCCCCACCAATAAAAGGGAGAGAAAGAGAACAAAGTGTGGGGGTGGGGTGAGAGAGAAAGAGAGAGGGAGTCTGGTCTGAAGAAGATGAACTAGAGAGTCTCCAGAGTCTCCAGACATCAAAGACACAGAGATCAAGTACAAGACTAAGGAGCTGTATTAAATTTAAGTCAGACCTCTGAACAGTGTAATGTACACACACATACCACACACACACACAGAGGAACATTTCACTCTCTCTTCCTAGAACACTGATAGCCAGGCTTATCCCTCCAAGGCAGGAGACTAGAAATGGGCCTGAAAAGTCCCAGATAAGAGACCTTCAGATATGTGAAGAATTCCCAATTTTTTGAAGGAAAAATATCACTTCCTGTTTTCCCCTGTGTTGAAGCTGACAAATTGGCTAGCCCCACCCTCAGACAGAGCTTCTAATCTGCTCTGCAGTGCTCACTTTGAAATGAATTGATAGCCAAGGATTACCAGAGCTAAGAAAAGCCTTATAGATGAAGAAAGAGATTAAAACAAACAAATGTCTGGAAGGCAGAAGGAATATAGATTAAGTAGACCCAGAATCAAGTGGAGAATAGAGGCAAAGAGAATGTACAGTTCAATAGCTGTGCAGCAGGTCAAGTGATCAGCCAGGTCTAATTAGTTCATGCAAGAAGGGATGTCTTCAAGAAAAAAAAACAGAACTAAAGAAAAGCAAGCTATCTACTAAGGTAATCAGATGCTTTAAAAAGTCTGATCATGTGAATAAGATTATTAGAGGTTCTCTAGTGTTGTCAGTGAACTTGGTGATGACTCACAGTAGGTATATATATCATTAAGGAATCAAAAAAGGTAAAGCAATTTGTGAAGCTCAAGAAAAACAAAGTTATTCAAAAGAGAAAGCATGAGTTGATTGAGTCAGTATTTAATAATATTTGCAAAGCCAAATTAATGTAAATACTGGCTGTTTAATTTAATGAAAAAATGCAGAACTGATATGAAGGATAAATAAAAGGAATAAGGTAATATTAAACCTTCACATAGCATAAGAGGAGGTGAGTATGTAATGTCTAAATTTCATACAGTAAGAAGTAGCACCATAAGCATGTGGTTTAGAAAAATGGAGTTACTTACTACAAGGAATACTTGAAGATTTGAAAGTATTTGCCTCTGGAGAATGGAATGAAGACAGAGAGGTAGGGTTAGAAAGGCAAGGGTAGAGCTGGCATTTTCCAACTAGAGTCTTATAGAATGATTTGACTTTAAACTGTGTACATTATGTTGACTAAAATAATAGTTAAAAATTTAAATAACAAGAAAAGAGTAGAAAAAGAGCAGAGTGAAAAATGTAAATCACAGATGTTATTATAAGACACTTAAGAAATTCTACGAGAACACTGGTCACCAGTGGCTCAAACCTGTATCCCACTTAATTGGGAGGCTGCAATCGGGAGGACTGTAGTTTGAGGCCAGCCCAAACTACAAATAGGGTCTCACAAACTACAGCAAATAGTTTGTGAGACCTACAGCTCTAAAATAACCAGAGAAAAATGGACTGGAAGTGTGGTTCAAACATTAGAACACCTGCTTTTCAAGTACAAAACCCTGAGTTCAAACTCCAAACACAAAGAAGGAAAGAGGGAGACAGAGAGACAGAGAGAGAGAAAGAAAGGAAGGGAGGAGGGAAGGAGGAAGGGATGCTGAACACTCTTCACCAAGAAGAGCCTAGAAGAAAAAATTCTGCCAACTAAAATTCACAAAGGTAATTTATTAGTGACTTTATCTTTCTAACAAAATTGTAAGTATCTGTTTATACTATACTTCATCCTACAATTAAAACCATGAGTGTTCTTTTAAAAATACATTACTTGAATCAATTTACTACCAGTATAGGAGTGGGCATTAAGCGTAGAATAAACTGTATTTTAAAATACGACTTTTTACAAAAAATTTCTGTAATATTCTTCTAGACATATCTCTGTATCTGGGGAAGAGGAAGAAGATAAAATGGAGGCATTTCATTCAAGAATGGAGAGCATTCTTGAATGAAATTTCTCTGCACACCCTTTTTTCCTTTTAACATAACTTCTCCAAAAGAATGGAAAACTCAAACAAAAAAAGCTGGATGTGTTACGAACCAGAAGACAGCTGTAAGGATAGACTCCTGTTGCCAGTCAAATGGGAGACCAAGCAGGTCACAGCAGACGCATTACTATCTGGGCAGTGCCAGGTACTCCTGACCGTCACCGTGTCATTGTCTGACCATTCTTTCTCAGTGGTACAATGCCCCTGTGGGGTCCAGGAGATCCGTGCAGCTGGCTTGCCTGCAACTGCCTCACACACCACAGTTCTGTTCTTGCCTCGGGTCAGGGTCACTTCAGGGGGCACTGCAGGGACGAAGGGGAAAATGCTTTAGTCTTCTCATAGAGAGGAGGGACATAGACAGACATTTGCCTCAATCACAAATCTGGTGATATGAACTACTATGGCATAGGACAGTCTTTACCTAACACTTGGAGGTTATATCCAAGACGATAATTCCCATCAGCCGTTACTATGTCACAACTGTAAAGTCCATCATGAGTGACAGCCACAGCATCAATCTGAAGGTGAGGATTCCGGTCAGGTCTGGAGGCCCAGGTTATCCTCCCATTAGTACAGCTGGGTGTGGCGGTCTCCTTTGTGTCTGGCTTGTAGGACAATCTGCAGAGAAGCTTGCCTCTGAGGATTACTTCCCACGTTATCATCACCAGCTTGCTTGTTGGTGGGAGAACAGGGCAACAGAGAACGGCCTTTTCACCAATCTGTACTGACAGCGACTTGTTAACTGGCCACACACAAAAGGAAACAGTAAAAGAAAAATTTAACAAGGAATGTTGTGTATTAGGTTTACCCATAACAGATTTCATGGAATTGTACTCAAAAATTGCCTTGTATTCAGGAAATATTAAATTTACATAAGAAATTAACATTCACAAAATATAGATAATGTATTAAACAAATTCTAAATACTAATCAATTTTCTCCTGCAGTATTTATTATTAAGGAAACAGCATTTATTATAAAATATGTTAAAATTAATCCAGGAGTACTGATATCTAAACAGACAGATAAGTGCTGGGTGCAGTGACTCAAATCTATAATCCCATCTATGCAGGAGGCAGAGATGGGAGGATCAGGGTCCAAGGCTGGTTCATTACAGAAAAGGGTAGACCAGATATGAAAAATAAACTAAAGCAAAATGGGTTGAGGCACAGCTCAAGTGACCCTGAGCTCATAATACAATCCAAAAAGAAAAGAAAACAAAATTCTAAATTAAGTGACACAGGCAATGTTCTAAAATATAACATTTTTTATGGATAAAATTTAACACACAATTCATGATCCTCAGGAAAAAATGATATAATTAGTGATGTGGTTTTCTCCTCCTAAACTTTGATGAGTACAAAAAAATCAGCAACATTAAAACTAAATTCCTATCATGAAGGGTGATACTTCAGACAAACATAAAGGTGGAAAGTACATAGCACAAGGTACAAGCATTAAAAGTAGTTAATATTAAGGTCGAATGAGCTGAAAATTTTTAAGTTTAATTTTTAGAGAATAACAAAGTCAATGAAATCACCAGATCTTAATCTATAATCTCACCACACTAGTGATCCTAGGAAAATGAAAAATGATGATCTCTAGAAATATTTATTTCTTGTGAAAAATTAGTGTGGTATATAAATTTAAAAGACAAAGTAAAAGATTTGTTTCCCTTTGGAAGTTTTACAGAAAAAGAATTTTATTACTAATGTGTAATATTATTAAACATAACCTTTAAATATATTTTGTTTACTCACACACCTTTTCACAGACAGTTTAGATGTGACTTGTGAACACATATTTCTTTTATGTACATTCCATCCAATTATCAGGATTAAATATAAAAGTTGACCCTGTGTCCATCTCCTAAGGTAAAAATTAAGCCCTGTGATTTATAAGCATCTTCCAACATAGAACCTCACTCCTCCCATAAACTAATATAAGGTGTCCATGACTGATAGGGATTTGCAGAGGTGATAAGATTAGTCAAGCAAAACACCTGTTTCAACTCAATCTGTAACAAAAGTAAGTGTCAGTGATGACATCATTTTAACACAAGCAGAACAAGCTATGGTGGGGCAAAGTTTTTTATGTGAATGAATCTTGTTCTTGCTAAACTCTGCATTTATTATCTTTCCTATTTCAGTCTCTTGACTCTTAGAACTGGTACTCAAGCTCTCACATTTTCTTCCTTTTTTTGTGAATAAAGCAGGAAAGTTTATTGGGATAGAAAAGTAGCAAGGAGTAGAGCTCCCCAAGGTGGGAGGGGCTTCAAGAGATGGTGCGCCAAGCCCTCACATTCCATGTTGAAATAAAGATCATAACTAGATGAAGAAAGAGGTGGGGCTTTAACACGACATGAGAGGTAGTTAAACCCATGCTCTTTTCACCACTCCAAGATGACAAAGGTTTAGAGGCAAGCAAGAAGGCAACTTGTCTGGGGAACAACTGGAGGTTGGGTCATTCAGAGTCCCTCATGCCACAGCACTCAGGTCACCAGACTCTTCAACTAGTCGTAAGGCTGCCTGAGCCAGGTCATCAGCTACTGTTCCTAACCAAGGTCAGCTCTCCACCCCTCAGGGCTGGCTACTAGATAAGGAATCATATTACCTTCTGCGAGAGGTGATGAATTGTCCTGTGCCATCTGCCTTTCATCTGCACATGAACTATTTGAATCTAGGAAATATTTAGAAAAGAGAAAATGAAGTCAATTTTGTATACACAGAGTAGAAGCCATTGTTACTCTACAGAGTCTCATATAACATGATAGAAAACAAGTACACTTTAACTGAAACTACCCAAAAAAATAAGGTTATCAGAGAAAAAAAGTATATATTTTGAAAATTATATTCATGATGTATTAATAATTGCAGATTCATGAGTGCCTTCGTTTGTCAACTACTTTGTCCATGGTGTCTCTGCTTCCTTTCTCCAGCCTGGGAGATTGGTCAGGTGTGGGAATCTCACATGGAATGGTCCAATTAAACTCCTTTTTCCAGGTGCTACTCCCTAATTGAAGTTATTTGATTAGATGTTGAACTTTACTCATATGTACAAAGCAAAACCTCTGTCCATAAGTTTTAGGATTGGAATTGAAAAGAATGCTCCCATTTCCCTTCCTCCATCACTTTTATTACCTTGTAAGAGGAAAAAAAGAGAAAATAACACAGAAATAGGGAGGGGAACAATGTTCCTCAATTTCAGCCTTCTAGTTCAAAAGTTCCTGTGACTGTCATATATTCTTTCCATTGTATTCTCTAGGATTTTTTTTATTATCAAAACACTCCTGATCAACTTCAAATTTGGCTTTTGAAAAATTTCTGAGATATAGCTTCTTTTAAAAATCAAGGATACAAGGGAGAGGAGGAAGGAATTAGGATTATTTTGTTATATGGTATTCACACAGTTCATGAAACAGGACATTGTTTAAAAGCGAACTCAGATTAATTGTAAGCATATATTTCAAACTCTAGGGCAACCACTAAAAAAGGGAAGTTCATCTGATATGATAAGAAACCAGACAAAATGGAAACAAAAATGTTCAATTAAAATCATAAAATTTAGAAAACAGTGCATGATAAATATAGAAACCAGTAACAAGAGCAACAAATAGAAAATAGTAACAGCTTTGGTATATATTAATCTAAGGACATCAGTAACCAATTCCAACATTGATGGTCTAAATGTACCAATAATACTAGATTTATCATAGATGATCAAAAATCAAGATGCAAATGAATATTTTCTGTAAAAAACCCATTTTAAACACAAAAACACATACAGTGTAAATGTAAAGGGACGCTAACACTAATTGAAAGAAAATGGCAGTAGCAATATTAATTTTGGACAAAGAAAAGTTCAGAGCAATGAATGTTATAGGAAAACAATCACATAATGATAAATGGGTCAATTCTCCAAGGAGACATAAAAGAAGAAAAAAAAAGAGATACGTATTAAGAAGGTAGAAATAAAACTGCTTTTCTTCACAGATGACATGATTGTCTTTGTGTAAAATCTGAAAGAACTGGGCAAACAAAACTCTTCTAGAATTAATAAGCAATTGTAGCAAGTTTGCAGATATATAGTTAATGCACAAAAATCAATTGCTTTTGTATATACCATCAATGAATAATGGAATTTTAAATTTAAAACACAAAAACATTTTTACTAGCACCCTTGAAAATGAAATATTTAGGTATAAAACTAATTTAATATGTACAAGAGCTATATGAGAAAAACTGTAAAACTCTGATGAGAGAAAAAAATAATATTCCACAGAGAGAAAAATTCAATATTGTCAAGATGTCAACTTTTCCTGACTTGATCTATAGATTCAGTGCAATCTCAATCAAAATCTCAGCAAGTTATTCTGTAGATATCAACAAACTAATTTTAAGGTTTGTAGAAAGGCAAAGGACCCAAAATAGCCAACACATTGTTGAAGAACAAAACTCAATGACAGCATAGGGGAGAGGGAAGGAAGAAGTGGAGAAAAAGCTTTTAGGCTAAACTACTCTGTACTATAGTAATATGGTGGATACATATCATTATGCATTTGTCTAAACCCATAAATATACATGACCAAGAGTTAACGCTAATGCAAACTATGGACTTCGTGTGAAGATATGTCAAGTGTGTACAGTCGTCAGTTGAAACTCCAGCGGCAGATGTTGGTAATGGAGGAGGCTTTGCACATGTGGAGGCAGAGGGTAGATAGAAAAATCTCTACACCTTCCATTCAATTTTTGCCTTGAATCTAAAGTGGCTCTAAAAAATAAAGTCTATTTATTTCAAAGTTAACAATAATGGCAAGCAAAATGTTGATGATGGAAGGGGGATATAGAAAAAGTCATTAATGTCTGGTTATTTACATGTGCTCTGCAATATAGCTTATCTTTCAAATTTTTAATGAAAAATTTTATGGATGGGTTGTGGGGTTGTTCAGCGATTGTAGTTTGGAAAAAGTTACTAAATAAGGAAAAAATATTTCATAATAAAAACTTTAACAACACCTTTAAAAATAAACACTAACACTTAGGCAATAGTCTATAAATACATATGAAGCAACTCAAGATCCTAGAATGCAAAAATCATGAGCATCAATCACTCTTCTATTAAAATTATCATTAAACTGTGAGCATGACACGAAATGTGATTGTTCTTGTTCATGTGCTGTGTTAATGAGGTACTTGGTAAAAAAGGACCTTCTACTTCTGAAATTATGTATTCTGAAAAGAGATGACATACAAAGAGGAATATGTCTTAATATAGCTAAATTTTACTTAAAATCCACCCTTTTTCCCCATATTCATCAGGCCATTTTTGAATGGCAATTGCCCATATGTAAATTATGATAGCCTAGTGAAAGTCTCAGCAAAATTTGGCCCAGTATGAACTTTTGACTTACTTTTCCCTCTTGGGCATTCTCTTGCTTTAAGTGTACACTGCCCCCCCCCACTTTGTATTTAAATCAAAGTATTTTTTCTTTTTAGTGTGTCACTAAATGTGGAAAAGAAGGTCTTAATATCTGATATAGACTTTTCAAGCACCAGTGAGTACGTTAAAAAAGTATATAATAGTGGTATGTTGATTGGATGCTCATACAGAACAAAAAAAAAGGATTTTCCTATGCATCATGGAAATCATATAGACAACTATCAAGTTAACATTTTTAAGGCAATCTCATAATGGAATTGAGTGGCAAGTATTGACCAAGTACTCTGCAAGGCATAGATACATCAGGATAAACAATAATCTCTTCTCCCTATGAGTTTAAGGTCCCAGAGATGAAGCAGCTATGTAAACAATTATAAAGTTTTCAGTGCAATGGTAAAAGTATACATGATGTTTGGAAAATTAAAAGAAGAGATATTTCATTCCAAAAGAACAGTATAAAAGATTAGGGAACCTGTAATAGATGAGATTTGTTTGTTTTGTTGTTGTCTGGAGATAGAATCGTTTTTTTGTCTGGGGATAGGATCCAGACCCTTGGTACATGAAAGGAAAATGCTTTACCACTGAGCTACATAATTAGGCCTTGAACTGAACCAACTGAATCCTGATATTTCCAGGAAGAATGAAATTTTAAAAAGGGGAATTTTAAACAAAAAATATTGATTTCTAAGGAGGCATACAGATAATTGGGAACTTCAAAGAGCTACAAATAGTTTAGCATTGTCATTAAGGAAGAAAACCTGGATGTGTGATTGGTGTTGAAGCTAGATACCAATAGGTTTTAGGTGTGCAAGTCGCAAAACTCCTACAAAATGTTCACAAGGAAAAGGCTCACTGACTGTGCATCTATGGCAGAATATCTGACAGCAAAGAGAAGCATCTTAGAGTAAAAATATTGAGTCCGATGCCCCTCCTAGTTGCCATTTTCTTTAGCAAACTGTTCTTTTAAGATAATTTATTGAATACTAAGAAGAAGAACAGATTTGGGTAATGTGCTTATGACATTTATTTCAATCTTCCATAATTGGTAGGCATTATTATTCTCATTTTCAGACACAGCAGAATTTTTGACCAGGGCCCTCAGCTAGTAAGGTGCTTCAGTTGCTCAATTGTGATTCTTGGTTCAGGTAAGACTTACTTGAGTAGAAAACAAAGGTTGACACCTACAAAATATGCTAAGATAAGTGACTTTCCTAAATTAAGAGTTGGTGAATTGAGTCTCAGCCATGTTATTAGAGTAGTTGAGAAACAAAGGTCTGAAAGAGAAGCTCAATCCATGGAATCAGGATTATAATGGCAAATGCAAACAACATTATGCATTCTAGATAGGAATGGGAATGGTTAAGAAGAGGAACTGAGATTATTGTAAAAATTCATGGGCCAACCCATTACTCTCTCACCACTTCATAAATTCTGTGGCAGTAGGGGTTTTTATCTAATGCTATTTATTCTGCATCCTAAATACTTCAAATAATGGCTTTCACAACTCTCTCAAGTGTGGCTTGCTCAGTTGGGGATAAAAGTAAAAGTCAACACAATTCTATAGCCTACTGAACTAAAGTTATAAACAGATAGTTTATAGAGAAAAAATTACAAATGTCTCTTTGTCCTATGAAATGATAACATAATTTATAGTAAGTGAAACACACATCAAAACTACGGAAATACCATGTCTCATCCACAAAACTGGCAAAACCCAAAAGTTTGACAACATACTCTGTTGGTAATATTGTGAAGACATGGGGCACGCCCTTATGCTGTCGGTGAGAATGTAAAAATATTACAACTTTGACAGGAAGAAATTTGGTGATACGTAACCAAATTATTGGTGCATACTGCTTTTGATTCAGCAATCCCACTTCTAGGAACCTCTCCCAAGAATACACAGGGAATAGAGTGAAAAGAATACATGCACAAGGCTGTTCATTACATTATTTATGATTGTAAGATTTGGAAATAACTCAAATACCTATCCATAGGAAACTGATTGACTAAACTATGGTATATATACAAATTGAAGTACAATGAAACATTTTTTTAAAAGAATCAGGAATAGCTCTATAAACTATTATGGAGTGGCCAGGAAACATTGTTAAGTGAAAGGATCAAGTTAGATAATGATAGCATGCTACCGTTAACCTAAAACAAGATGGGAGGAATAACAATGTGCATGTGCTTTCTTTCTTTTCTTGATTATAATTGCAAAACTGGAAGAATAAAATGGGACAGGAC